AGAGGTAATAGCTGGAATTGCTGCATTATTTGTCTCTCACATTACAGTTGAAAATATCTAGTATTCATGAAGTGCGATCATATTATCAGACAAAAATGGAATACCAAAACCAGCAAGAGACCTATTAAAATAAAATAATTGAACTGAGCTGCATTCAGCTGAAATCAAATAGCTGAAGAGCACATCTTTCATTGGTAATGTGTCTTGGAGGAAAAAAGGCATTTACTAACAGCAGCAGTATTTAATGGTCTTTTAAATCATCTTTTGGAAAACTTCTTTACTGTTTTGATCTGAAACATCATTTAAAGTAATATCCACCTCCACAGAATCCCTTGAGGCAATTATTGGCCTTTCTGATCTTGCCTTGCTGTATTAGTTCTGCCTATGTGTTTGCTTTATGTGAGCTTCCAGAAGCAATTTTCCTCAGAGAAGAAAATGCATAAATCCTTGAAGGTTAACTTGTGAGAACTCTGGCTTTGCTGGATGCCTAAGGAATTTCAAGTGCCTTCTGAAACCATCCTGTCGCTTTAAAAATAACCCCCTGAAGTCCCAAGAAATCACTCTGCCTACGGGTCATGTTTTCTCTCCCTTTCAAAGTATATAGAGTTCTCTTTAATAGGGAAGTATTTCTTTCCCCCTCACTGCTTTTGTGATTATCCCTGCCTAATGTCACATACTGTCTTCTGTGGCCATTCCGCAAGTAATGTGTTGTACCAAACTGAAGTTCTCAGTAGAGAGGAAAGTGAAATTTTTAGGCAATAAACCTCCTGTTTTAGCCCTCTGGTTCATCAAGGTATATAAATCTTTGCCTGTATTTCTGAAGTCCAAGGAAGCATTGTCCGTTTAACGTGTCATGTACTGAAATAAAAGAATTAAAGGTTCCCCAGTGTAATTTGAAGGAGCAGGTTTTAATACAAACAAAAGCATCTTTCTCTCCACCCCCTCACCCACGGTGCAATCTGGGTATGGAGCTTCCTGCCGTGGCATGTTGTGCACTTGAAAAATGTACAGGGGCTTAAAAAGTGAAATAAAGGATCTAATGGAGAGGAGGTGAACCGGTGCTAATGGGCAGTGGTCTGGAGGGGACCTTTGGTTTAGAAATATCTGCAACTGGTGATGGCTGGGAGGAGGGAGAAGGGAGGGATTACAGATTGTGTGTGTGTGTGTCCTGCTTCCGTGTTTACGGAAAGGGTATCTCCTACTCATCACTTCTAGAGATGGGGTATGCATTAGTTGGTATCTTTTTGTCTGTCTTTGTGCAGCTTCCTTTTGTTTTTACAAACCATGTTGATTATAAGCCTTCTTGCAAGTATGATTTAATTCCACATTTTTCTGCTGATGGATATGTTTAAATACGAATAGTAAAGTGCTCTGAAAACCAAAAATCCTGTCCTTTGCTCTATAATCTTGGATAGTTTTCTGTGTTTATACAAAGATGCAATAAAGGTGACCGACTGCCTTCTCGCTATTAGTCACCCAGCTTCACCAGCAGGCAAAGCTTTCAACCCCCCTAGCACGTCCCAAACCACTCTTCCCCAACACCCTCCTGGGACAAACACAGATGAGATGGGAAGTGATTAATGTCCGAGGCACTAAGATGGAAGTTTTCATGTATTAACTGCAAATTTGAAGCTTTCTGTATTGCTGGAAAATGAGCACAGGCCCTTCCTTTTGATCTTAGCTTCTTAAGTGACTCTTGGTCGTTCCTCCCTGCCTTGGTGCTTTCCCATCTTCTTTCTTTCTCTGCCTTTTCCTGTGTCTTCTCGTAGGTCTAACGACAGCAGCAGTCTCTGTGCCGGGGTTTGCAGCCAGGGTCTTAAAATGTCAATATTCTGCATATGCCGGGCTGTGGCTGAAACTTAATAGATGGGTGTCCCTTTGTGTGTGTATACTCAGTATATAAAGGACAAGGGAATAATAATTAAGACTTGGAGGAAATTTATTTAATACAGCCTTCTGAAACTGTCTCAGCTGGTCTAAATTTCCTTGATATTTATCTGTTCTTGATTGTACTAGTACCTATAATTTGTTTATCCAGGCATTTTTCTGTAAAGTGAAGAAAATATAATCTTTGATAGTGTTGAGATTAAAACCTGTGATTTTGGCCTGATTGGATTTGATAAGGCTATAGCCGCCATTGAATGTCCACATTCTAGAAATAAATTTTTATTAAGAAAACCTGCCAAAAAATAAGGTTAAGAGATATTTATTGTGCAGAAAATTTAAATAAAGTGTGAAACAAGGATTTTTTTTACTACTTCTTTATTGGAGAAGCCTTAACCATGGCACTGCTGTTAATGCCTCAATAAAAACTATAAACCTTTTGAATGCAAATGAGGCTGCTGTTCAAAAATGGTTCAAGCTGCAATTTCATGGTTTATGTCAGCAAAGCCCATCAATTGAATTAAATTCTTCTACCAACT